GCCCCCGAGAGCAGCAGCAGGAGGGTTCGGGGCGCCATCACCCCCATCCTCGGGAATTGCGGACTCTGAGCTCTGGTGCTCTGTGCGGACTTTATAACCCGAGCCGTGGCGACGCTGATTGGTTGCGCTGGGAGCCCGCAGGCAATGGGATTGAGAAGCGCGGCAGCGTCACCAGTGTCCAGGCAGAAGGACCCGACACAGGTTGGCGGAGGGAGAAGTGAAACCGCAGGGTGTCGGAGCTGGGCCAGGCTGTTTCCGGAGCCGGGCGCAGCCCTGGGCTCAGCCCCGCGTAGCCGCGCCCCGGGACGAGGATTCGCCCACCCGTGTGCGCAGGTGGCAGGTGCCCTAGGAGTTGAAGATTTCTGCAATAAATTTAAGTGCAAACAATTGTATGTAGCTGATGGTATCTTTCAGAGTCCATATTTAGTGTACTTAGTTTTTATTACGTTATGCAAAAAAGCCTCATGGAGACCCATGGAGTCCAGTGTATCCATGTGATCTTCACAGGAAACCTGGTTTCCTATGTGGTGATGAGACACATCTCCAAAACATGCCAAGCCCGAGAAAGGGGAAGGTGTATTTTAGTAATTAGAGAATACAGATGACCCCAACCATGATCTGTCACCAAAGGTCATAAAATATCAAAAACGCCGATCACTTGAGCTAATTACTGTATTTCTGTGTCCCTCTTGGCATTTTCGGTTTCTAAACCCGGTAAATTCGAGGAGACCCACAGCTCTGCACTTAACTGCAGGGCAAACATTTACTGAAGACAACACACATGGAACACCATGCAAGTCCTGCAGACACTTTGTAAATTATCAGCGAAGGTGTTAGGCCTTAGAACTTCACCTGAGAACTGTCCGGGACGTGCAGACTTGTCGTCCTCTGAGGTGTGGGCATGACTGCATCCGTGCGTGTGGCCTGTTCCCACCTCCCAGGACGCTGTGATGAGGAGGAGGCGGCCAGCCTTGGCGCTGAGGAGCCCTCAGGGCGGTGTGGCTTCCTGTGCACAGCACACTGACGGGCAGCCTCCAGGGCCTCTGCTGTGCAGATGACCCGGACACTGGGGTAAAATGAAGAGCAAAGCGGGGTCCCTGCCAGAGGACACTTCCATGTTGTTTCTTCTTTCACTAGTTAAAGTGTTTAATCAATTCTCGTAAGATGAGCGTCTCCATAACCCCCATCCTGATCCACAGAACTTTTCTAGATGCCCTCAAAGCCCCTGTGTGTCCTGTGCTAATTAGCGCTCTGGCTGGGACGCTGCCACCCGGGTGAGAGCCGAGGCCGCGTGTGCTCGCCGGGGCTGCGGCTGGTGTCTCCGCGAGAGCAGGGGCGCTTGGGGTGCTCGGGGTGGGGGACCCACGCTCCTGCGTGCTGGCGCCGCCTGCCCCGCTCTGCGCTCCCGCTGCCGGAAGGTGCGCGGCGCCGAGCTCCTGCAGGGAGCGGTGAAGCGAGCCGGTGCGGCGCGGGAGGAGGTGGTGCTAGCGGGGTGCAGCACTGCCCGCGGCAGAAGCAGCTGGCCTCGCCCCACCCGCCTGGGCGCTTGGCGAGCAGTGCGGGGGAAGGACTGTGATTGCTGAGGAACCGATTGCTGGTGGTCGGCTTAGGGTCCCCAGCCGTAACGAGTGCGCGGGGTGCGGGGTGTGGTACGCTCGCCCGAGGGTGGTTCCCATCCGCTGAGAGGCAGAAATGGAAAGGGATGATGAATTTCCCGTGTTGGTCCCAGTTACGTGCTCGGTTTTAATAAAAGGCGACTGAGAGGAGCCATGGGGCGGCAGTCCCAGGTGCTGTGGGCCTCCTGATCCCAGACTTCTAGCTCTCTTGTTTCTCTTCTACGGTCCTTTATTCGTCGGCGGGCACCTCATTCTCGGGACCCGTCACCACAGTTAATACCAACATATGGCGCCTGAACAGGGACTTGAGTATAGAAGTAAGTCTGGGAGACTAGAGCATGAAAATAAGTCTTCTAGACTAGAGCATGAAAATAAGTCTTCCAGACTGGCACAGGGAATTAAGGAAGTTAAGTCAGTGCTCGACGGACCGGAGGAGAGTCGCCGGGCAGGTAAGCCCAGTCTCCGGGATTGTTCATCAGGGTTATGGGAAGTTTTCTGTTTCAGAAAAAAGATGAAACAAAACAAGACATTTTACAGGAGATAGGAAATGAGGATCTGGCACAACCCTCAGCCCCCAGATATGATCCTTTGGTCTCTCAGGCGTATCCGGTGCAGCTCTCAGCCCCCATATATGATAGGTTTAACCCTGTTAGAGACCCCCTTCAGTTAACTCTTCAAAGACCGTTACCTATGAGTACGGTAAATACCTACAGTGCAGCAGCATTGAAGGAAGTGAGCAAATTTAGCGTGTCCTTTTAGAGGGAGGGGTTGGAATTGTGTATGTGTTGTGATTCTGTTTAAAAATTGTGCAGTGTTAAACCTTTCATACTTGGAGCCAGAAACTCTTGCATAAAACAAGATCAGAGGACCAAGACATAAAGATTTAGGATCAAGCCGGGCGTGGTGACGCACGCCTATAATCCCAGCACTCGGGATGCAGAGGCAGGAGGATAGTTGCACGTTCCAGACCAGCCTGGGCTACAGAGGTAGCTCAAGGTCAGCCTCAACTGCATAGCGAGACCCTGTCTCTAAAAGACAAAAAAAAAGGACCAGACTTGCTAATTATTATAGACCTGTTTGTTTCCTGTTTTTAGTGTACCCTGGCTTTTTGTTCACTCTTTCTTAGTGGCCAACAAGTGGAAGATTACAACACTTACAGACAAAAACAGCATTAATTTTGTTCTTGCTCATTTGCCCTTTGGCCAGCAGAGACTTTGGCAGCTGGGTTCCTTACACAGTTGAGGAGTACCTCGACTTCAGGGGGAGGTAGTTTAGGCAGTGGAAGCAGAATAATGCTGGTGAGGTTTGTTTCCTTTTTTTTTTTTTGTCTTTTTGAGACAGGGTCTCGCTATGCAGTTCAGGCTGGCCTGGAGCTCCCTTTGTAGCCCAGGCTGGTCTCGAACTCGCAACGATCCTCCTGCCTCAGCCTCCCAAGTGCTGGGATTACAGGTGTGTGCCACCACGCCCGGCCCTATAAGATTATTTATAATAATCACCCAAAGAATCTTATACAAGAGAGTGCAGGAAATCTGTCCACACACTTAGGACTAAAGAATCTAGCTGAGGGCCTGGATCCCATGGAAATGTCCCAGCTGAAGTACAGCTGAAGACCCAGCACTCGTAACAGTGCCTCCTACGAGTCCAACTGGAGGCCTAGAATCCATGAGAATATCTCATGCGGGCCTTTTTTATGGATTTGTGCTGGGAAGGCCCAATGATCAGTGGTGGAATCTGGAAGGACTGCCAGCAGGATGGAGGCTCTGTGCCAGCAGGGTGAGGGATCTGCACTGGAGCCAGGAAATAACGCGTAGTAAGAACCAGCTCCCCTGAAAGGTACCACAGCCATCCTCAGGCACAGTGAGGTCCCGAGCTCCTCCAACGGTAAAGACAGCTGAGCTCCCACCAGGAACGCCAACGCAGCACGCTTCTCCAGGACACTGAGCAGTGCACCATCTTGCTCTCTGGATCCAGGAAGTGATGTTCAAAGTGAGGACCAGAGCTCCCCCAAAGTGAACCGAAGTCATTCTCAGTGCCAATGAGGT